CTTTATTCCAACTTATATGTATACCTACATTCTTAGCAAATAAATGATTTCTTTCTTTCTTTCTTTCTTTTCTTTCTTTAAATTTTCATATGGATCCAAACGATTTTTATTGGTCCTTGTTTTATACGTCATTCTTGAAGGACCGATCGACTGGTAAGAATCGCGACTGGCAAGGTTCCGAATTCTATCCTCGGATCGGTCAAAATATTATTGGGATATTTTGAAAAATCAATGTAAATGGATTATTGGGAGATTCATAATTTAACTGATGAAAAGTGAGTGTTATAAATAAATACATGTTCTACCTACTGAAATTTGAATTAATAATAATTAATATTGTATTAATATAAAATGGGGCAGCATTTAGTTAAAGGCAGTACCTTCACTAACTTTTGAATGAAGGTGTGTGCATTTATGCAAATTTTTGATACAGTAAATAAAATAAAAAAAAACAGTAGGTAACTGAAATGTTATTTTACGGCTAAACTGGAAAGCCTTACAATCCATACCATTCCGAAATATTTAACGATGTTTTATTGTGTTGTGTGTCATGCGCGCGTGTGAGTGCGCTCGGCTGGAAAGTATCCCGACTGACTGTGCCTAGCAGTATGCGCTGACCCCTATTCTTGTTATACGGCTCACTTTTTAGGTCAAAAATAAGTCTGATAAATTATTGTTATTTAACTTCGCTTTAATGGCAGCCAGTGTTTCGATACTTAATGACACAGAGTTTAAAGTATTCCGATGTCTGAAAAAAATTGTATTGGACTATAATGGCATAACAATAACATCAGGTTCAAACTGTATATTATAAGAACGCTTCTGCCTACCCATTCTCGGAGTAATAGCCGTAACGTTAGTTACATTGTACAAACCATTAAAATCATTTCTATGCAATTAAATAAAATAATATACAAACAATATAATACACAATAGTCGATTTTATTTATTTTATTGCAACTTTCTGCTTTTATTCTTAACGTATAAATTGGCTTTATAGCATTATTATTATATATTAGGAATGGTAAGGTTACCCCATATTTACGAAAGTATAAAGATTTTTATATCAAGAATTCCCTAATTAAAATTGTTTGTCGTCACCATTGATTACCTTTATTATTTTCTTCATTGATGATGAAATTGTGTCCACAAAAAAGATATAATCATAATAATTACTAGGTAAAATTTTATTGAATTCTTACCCTTTACCTGGATAGTGCTAAGTTCACTGCCAAGCGTGGGACTTTGGGGAAGCGAAACCACAAGAAAAGAATTTTATTCAGTAAACTACCTCTGATGACTATGATGCGATTTAATACTATATATATATATTACCTAATGAATATCGAGGTGGCTCGGAGGTTTAGTACGTCCGCTTCCGATGCCTGAGAGAGCGCGTTTAAAACCTAACAATGGTAAGTACCAATGTGACTTTGTCCAAGTTATACATATGTCCTTCAAGGATTATGTACATACCATTGTAACGTGATGGAAAACATCGTGAAGAAAATCGCCTTTCTGCCTTAAGCAAGCATGGTGATTGGTCAAACCTCCTCCTTATGAGATGACGCCTTTGCTTAGCAGGCATTCCTAGGCTGTGGATGATTATTATAGAATATTTGTATCATCATTATTGTATTGCGGTTCTGGTTTCTGCTTTAGCCTTTGTCTATCGTTTAAGTATAAGTCTCCATCAACATTCTTAATGTTAGAGGCATACCTGGTAGTCTATCATACTTGCTTGTATTGTAACACTTTTTTACAGGTTCGATTTTACAACCTTCTTAAATTCTATTTAGGTACTGTAAAAATAACTTATTCTGGACCATATTGCATGAAAAACTTGATTGTGTTGATATAAGAAGAAACATGACTATTGAATGTTTGTACCTACCTCTAATTGGCAACTATTTGTACAAAATAATTTTGTGTATTTCATTAACTGACCATTTTAGACTCCTCTAAGTTAGTAAGTATTTAGTTACTGGCGTCAAAAGGTTAATTATTTTTATCAGTGAGGGGAAACTTCTTTACCGCGCACTTGAGAACTACGACTTCATAGACTCAGCAACTAATCACTTCTTCGTTGCTGCCATCACATATTTATTTCACCAACTTTTCACGCTTTATTATAAACACTTGATAACATGAATTACAATTTATGATAAGTGTATCGTTAACACTTTAATTGAAAATTATTAACACAATTCGAGTGCATGTATTTCTCATGAATTCTATTATAATTCCGTCAAGAAGTTCTTTCAACGTCTTCATAGGCTGTTCCACGATTTGTTTATTTATATTGTGGTCGCCTTTCATCTAGTATACGTGAACAAATAATGAATGTACGACATATCAGACGGCGGTGTGACGTCACTCCGGACACGGTCACATCAAAGCACACTACATCGATGATTTATGCGTATTTTGTTAGACTTCGGCCCAATTACGTTCATGAAAATTTGTGCACTTTCATAATAAAGTGTTTACCGTTGAAATGCTTTGATGTCTAATTGGGCGGATGGCGCGATGAGCTATACTGATACCATACGTACGAGTGTCCCGGTAATCGTTGATTGATTTATCGTTACACTTTGAGTAGATTTACTACTGGTCAAGGGTAGTCATCATAATTAGATATCATACACTCGAATATCAGCAATATTCCTTGTTACTTTGTGTGTCGCATACAGTCCAGACATACACGGGCCTCATTACTGGCATGTTCGTTGTGATGTTACATCGAAGCACGAAATGTACGAACTTATTAAAATAGTATTAGGATTGCCCTTTTCGCTGTAATAACGTATCAAATCTTGGCAATGTAATTACCCATATTATAACTGTTTGTGTATTTTCGTGAACATGGTGGATTCAGTTACTTCTATTGAATTGTTTCGGCGTTTAGTTTTATATACCTGTCTTATTTTCATGTATATTAAACGAGGAAAGAACCTACCAGCTTGGGTTTTGGGTGCATGGAGCTAACAACAAAACTGGTGAAAAAATATATCGATTACGAAGTTAATGCCTTCAATGATGTGTGTCTTCGTAGGTTTAGTATCTATCAAGTACTTTGTAATTAATACGTCTGTTGTACGTGCCTCAATTATAGTTCTTTATATGATATTTAAAAAACCGCATCACAATCCGTTGCTTAGTTTTAAAGATCTAAGCATACCTACATAGGTACAGACAAACGGCGGATAGCTACTTTGTTTTATACTATGTAGTGATGAAAGCTAGTCCAGTAATAAAAAGCCAAGTATTCAAAATTTTATTTTGTAGTTGTACGTTTTGTAACAGTTTTGTGCAAATGGAAATTTGTGCCTAGTGCATTTCCACACTGCGTAGTCTGTGTTGAGTAAAAATAATTATCATAATTACCTATGTGTACCTCATTATTATATATATTATTTTACCTCCAGCACCTTCGCCTGATAAACTAATGTCCAAATACTCAATCGCCACTCAATTTTACGATGCACTTTTTTACGGTTTGAAAATTATCGAATGATTTCTCCCGCTTGTGTGAGGTGGAAGTGAGTGTCAGACTCTTACTGACTAAAAACCACCCCGTTCCTTCTCCTGCACTTCGAGCCGGAGCCCCGGTAACCCGTTAAGGTCTCCACGGCTTTTTAAGATGCACTTAAGTATAGTTTTGTTGCTACAAAATATTTATAAAATACAGGAATGGCACGATATTTAAAAAGAACTTAACATTGGGTAGTCTTTCAGTATTTGGGTGTAAGACTTTTGTTGGTCTGCCTCGTTGGCCGAGTGGTCGCAAGTGCGACTGCCAGGCAAGGGGTCTCGGGTTCGATTCTCGGGCCGGGCAAAGTATTACTGGGTTTTTTAAGAAAAATCTCAGTAGTAGCACGGAGTCTGGAAATGGGTATATGGCAATAGGCCCCTATTACATGGGATTCGTAACAATAATAGTGAAAAGTAGGTGTTACCTCTGTGTGCACCTCTGCCTATCCCTTCGGGGATAAAAGCCGTGATGTTATATTATACTTTTGTTGGCTGCCGATTGTTTCATTACAGTTGTCATTCATTTTCTTGCTACTGTATGTCGTCTTTACTGATATACTCTGAATATCGAATCGTCCTTCTAGAACGAAAAAGGTTACTGGGGCTCCGGCTCGAAGTGCAGGAGTAGGAACGGGGTCGTTTTTAGTCCGTAAGAGTCTGCCATTCCCTCCCGTCTCACCCATATTCTTCTTTAATAAGAGTAATTGTAATTTGAAATTCATTGGAATATTTGTGAAATATTTCTATAATTTTTTCGGGTAGCAATTTAGCAGCAAATAAAACATTAATAAGACAGTAAAGACACCAATTAGACTTCTAGTCATCTACGATTGATATCGACAATATTACTTATAACTTTACCATAAAATTCCCTTTTTATGAGACGGTATTTAAAATTATTTAAGTAATTAAAAAAAGTGGTGTCAACCTCTATGGAATCCTGTTTAATTATATATAAGTGATTTAGAACACTGATGACATCCTTTTTTGAGGCCTGTTAACAAATCAGAAGGTCTATTCGTAGAGCAATTGTATGACAATATTATGATATTCCTATGGACTTGTACCGATACATACGATATTCGGAAGTTTTCTAAAAGGAATCAGAATCGCTTATTATAACAATGTATCGCAGGATCTCAAAATATCTATAATCATTTACTGTTGCTTCATGCATCACTTTACTTTTCTGATAGTTGTAAGAGACATTTCTTTCTTAAGAAAAAATATTCTGGTCAGGATCTGCCCTTCGTTTACACTTTGACACATAGGTACAGGTCTTAATGTTAGTAGTATCAAGCAGCCTCCAAGCATGTTCTATGTTTCAATAAGAAGATTAAGATATACATGTAGAATTTTGTGAATAATTTTCATAATTACGTAATTAAATGTTTATTTTGGGTTTCGTTTCGTTCTGGGGTTGTTTATTACAGGTAAGGAATGAAATGATTGAAACAACCATCAAATATTTCTGTATTAAATTTTATTGCATCTATTCACACACCTTTCTGGGAAAACGGTTAAAAGACGTTTGAAGCTAACAAAATTGGACAACATTTAATAATTTTATCAACACTTATTTTGTTTTAACTAAACCCATGTAATGTTACAACAGTTTCTGATTCTACAGTTCGCTGAATGGCACTGACTCTACAGTTATTATACAGTTAAATGTGGATTCGGAAATGTAAGTATGTTGTTTAACGAAAATATACATTGTCGTTAAGATATTCGTATATCGTTTACAATCGAATATACATTTCGTTGTTTATATAACTACTTTGAAGATTCACGTCTTCCATCCGTGCCTATTTACATCAAAAGGAATTCTAATACAGAAAAATTATTGCATTTACCTCTCTTAAATACTCACGTTATTATTACAATATATACTTACAACAGTGACGTATGTACAAAACTATAGACTCAATTTTGGACTTTCAGTCTCTACAATATTGAAAAAAATATTATAGGTACAATGTATAGAAACAAATAAACGATGTGAATTTACATTATTTTAACGTTTACAATTATACAAGGCCATTTTTATTTAGTTATGACAATTTTTACGAAGACAAATGTTGTGTGAATGCTACAGATGAGATAAATTTCCGTTTCGAGTAGGGCTGGCAGCACAAAACTACGAATGTCGGACTTGGCAAAGTGTGAACGGTTTTAGCGGGATCACGAACCGACGCGACCATGCGATCACTTCCATAACAATATGTTATAGATACCTATGTATTAAATAAAATAAATTACACTTTATTATTCAGATCTTTAAGTTCACAAAGCTGCAGACAGATTGCAACAGTGTAAGAAAATATAACTACATTAACAATAACTAGCAGAAGACAATTATTTGCAGTTCATTTTATATCAGTTTTGTAAGTGAGATATGTAAAAGAGGGTCTAGATTGTGATGTAATACACAAGCATGATAATATGGTCTCGCGTTTATTAACTTAAAAGCTGTTACAGTTGTAAGCGGACACGGTTCCGTTAGTACTACGACTCTGTAACAAGAAAACTAACAAAAAATCACCTTCATTTAGTCAAAAGTTAAAGAATAATTTTTGCTAACCTATTCTAAAAACTAAACTTTTAACTACGGCTCTTTGTTACATTAAATACATCACGGAAATTAATATAAATGCATAAATGTAAGTAACGATCAAATTAATTAAGATAATTTAAGTAATATAATAATATAAAAAAAGTTGGCACAACATGAAATGGAAATTAGGCACCTAGTTATGCGTATGTAACACAAACATGGTTTGTTCAACTTTTATAACGTTCTGCCATACGCAAACAAAAGTTAACAGCAATGCTAGATATTTTAATTGTGACAGTAAATTTCCTACAATTATGTACTATAGCAGCGAGCAACTTTTATTTGGACTCTAATTATTTTAATTTCGCAGGAAGCCCGACTCTCTTCCGCATTTCACGTTTCGTTGGTCCCACATGGTTTAAAGTTTCTAACTTTAGGTGCCTATTACCTATTAATTATAACACAGATAATAGGATATTTTACGAGTATACCGGGGACTGCTACACCTCACAGCATGGCCCGCGGCGTAACAAAACCTAGTGAAACCTGTGTGATTTCATGAGAATGTTTAGATATTGATGACGAATTCTTGTTCATGCCAGCCCTACCAAAGGGGAATTCATTAGTAACTAAAGGTGATTACTAGACATAGTTATGTAATTTCATTTATGTTTAACACAGACAATCATAGTCTCTTGACTAGAAAAAGCTATACAGACTTTCTGAAATCCTCACCAAATCTGATATAAATTATTGATATAAGTATTGTAGATAAAAAAATCTTATATTAACGACTCGTTATACTACTGACCTCGTATCAATAAATATTAAAATTCGAATGTTAGATATTTTAAGAAACTATCAAACAATAGAAAACACTGGACGTAATTAGGCACTAAATATAAAGTAGAATATTTGAAATAATAATTTACACTACATACAAATAATAATCTAAAACAGTGTTGTTTATCTATGTATAAGAAACTTAACACATATTAATACCTATTTTTGAATGAAATCACTTCGTTTAACCACCTCCAATAATAACTACAGCAACATGTCGCAAGGTCCAACTTGTATAGCACCTAGTATTGTCGGTCGGTCGGCGCGGGCGCTGCGTCGACGTCGTTTGCGAGTTGTCAACCTCACGGCGCGGGCGGTGGCAGGTGGCACACCGCTCGCATGTGTCCACTATCACAAATCTAAGCTTCTCTACCGGTGCATAATAATTATTATCACGTATTTATACGTATGTATACATATTTATATTAGTCTATCGCTATTTACAGGCTGAGTGCCCTCTCGCGGCACTTTCAGGGGAGATCGAAATTATTGTCGATGCGCCAACGGCGGGCGTGGGGCTTGTGGTCAGGCCCGAGGTGGGGGAGGGGGCTCGGCCAGCGACGACGTGGACGATGAGGACGGTGAGGGAGCTGGAGGTGCAGGGGCAGGTGCAGCAAGTGCTAGCGAACGAGAGTACTCGAGGAGGGCCACGTCCGCCGGGTGAGTCGGAGGATACAGGCCTCGGTATAACTCAGGCCGGCTGTAAGGGTGAGCGAGGCGAGCTGCCGCGGCAGCGGCTGCTGACTGGTAAAACGCGGATGCCGGTGATGGTGGCGCTGGAGCTTCGCCCTCTTTGCTTGCCATATCCGCTAGTGACCATATTCTGGGCTTTGCTGAGGCTGGAGTGCTGCCGGGTGGCGCACGGGAAGGTAAATGCTGATAAGCTGGGTGAATAGGTCTTTCATAAGGTTCAGGTGATTCGGGACCACTATCGGCGCGCGATTCGGACCACTCTGATTCTGTCCTTTGCCCAAGCATATCTAATCTTTGTTGAGGTCTATCTCCGTCTTCGCTAGAGCCGGTTCCTGAGTCTTTTCCATCTAAAAGAGAAATTATATTTAGTAAAACTAAACTACAAAATATTCAACGAACCGAAACCTTTTGTTGAATTTGTTTGGATAAATTGCACTGTAAAGTATTATAACAAGTTTTTAATGCAGGTACGTACCTAATCCATCTTTTCCATCGTTGCTTTTATGGTCATCATCGTCATTATTATTGTCATCATCGTCGACCCTGTTTCTCGGCTCCCACGTCATCTTGTTTTCCTTCTTGAGCCGGCGACGTGCATTCGCGAACCACGTTGACACCTGCGTCAGCGTCATCTTGGTGATGATCGCCAACATTATCTTCTCGCCCTTCGTTGGGTATGGGTTCTTCTTGTGCTCGTTTAGCCACGCTTTTAAAGTGCTCGTTGTCTCTCTAGTTGCGTTTTTTCTTCTTGCACCGTTTAGGTCCATTCCATACCTAGGGACAAATAATAAGTAAGAGTTATTAAATCGTAGATTATAATGTTTGCCTACAATACGATACTTGGTGTTACATTCCGAATTTATTGCGAAGACGATTGTGCTAAATTTTTAGAACATAATCAAGCGTATAATGGCAAAGTCCGATTTGGGCGAGATTTCAGATAACGTGAATCGAGACCGCCCCAATCCCTATCGCGCGCCCTCCCGGCCGCTCCGTGATCGCCACACCGAACCAATGAAAGCGCCAGCATAATAATTGAAATCGAGATAAGCCATCGACTGCTGTGCCAGCGTTAAGCTGCAGCTTATCTCAGACACAGCTACGTACGCATTTGTTGGTGGACCATGCGCCATTATTTGAATGGTACTATCTGTATTACGATAGATTCCATTAAAGTCAATTTATCAACGTTAATCTTGAAAACGTGTCGTTTGTTTACTCAAACATTTAAGGAAAAGAAGTTGTAATTAAGTTTTGTAACTTGTTTATTTTATTAATATGTATTTTAGTTTTATTATTCCGTTTTGGTAACACAAACAGTAGTGTGACAATTTTCATTTAATCCGTTACGCGTAATGTTTAGATGGAAACAATACTGGTACCATATGCTGCCTTTGTTAAGTTATCAGAGGCTGACTGGGGTGGAAAATAGGGATGAGTAGTGGGAAATTAATAAAACTGTCACTTAAATCGCAGAAGTGACGGGCAGTGCCCCTTCTTGTTCAATGTGCGCAATCGATTTTGAACCTTTAGTGCAACAGTTATGGTCACGATTCACATAAAGCCCTCGCCAAATGAAGTAGCTCACTCCATTGTTAAGTTCGTTGTTGACTTAATTCTCCTCGATCCCCATTGAGCGAGATCCTCGTAAATAAATATGATAGAAAATCCCTTTTATTTCGTTTCTATTTTTATGAATGTTTGTTAACACCAGTACCTTCCAAATGATAAAATAATGGCTTATTTGAGCGCAAGTATAATTTGACTACAAAACAAGACATACGTAGTAGCAAAACCAATTTAATGACGCCCTCGAAGCGACTATGAATGAACTAACATCCATAGAATTCAAGTGACAATACAAAAGTGGAGCGACGCCAAGCTTAGGCGTATTCTACAAACAAAAAAGCTTCATTTATCCACGGCGTGCCACTTTCACAGCATCCGAGCTCGCGGGGGATCGGTCTGCAAGCTTCATTTTTTTATTATTTTGCTATCCCCGCGGCGTGCTTGCGCCCCGGCGGGCGGTTGCGGGTATCCACCCTTCTCACACCAACGCCTCGCCTTCAATTAAATCCCTATCTCTCGCGCCACCTCATGCTTCCTACTTAAACTCATAAAAATGAGATAAACACAAAAATATTGCTCGTACAGTCTGTCGTTATTATAAAAGTAATCCGATGGTGCTGCGGTTCATTCAGTTATTTAAATTTTATGTACCAATTCATAGTTTATTGCATTAATGAACCGCGTTTAAATTTCTCTCGTGTTTGGTGTCATTAAATTGCTGTAATTTGACTAAATCACTGGGGTTTGCCGTTTGGTAAACGTTGTGTCCATGTGGATTGTGGAAGGCTACTAATTTTAGAAAGGTGGTTTGTAGCGATTGAATGGATTATCCTAGTCCGAAATGATTGGTGATCGGTAGGCCTACGTTCAATCGTGATATAGCGCAATCTATTTTCACGATAAATCCTCCCAATGCGCATTACCGATACATAATGGAGCCCCAGGTCGTTGTTAAAACAAGCGGCCCGAGGCAGACAGGGGTGAATTTGAAGCGGTGACAAAAGGAAAACCGTTCTGAAACCTTTGTTTGATACTTATTCGCCGCGTCGAAGAGGGTTGATATTAAAATATGATCTGTATACCTTTAACACTTCAGATTTCGTTACTGTGGTTGAAGATCATTAAATTGTTTTGTACCTACTGTAATACAAAAAAATGTTGTCTGATGTATTTGAACGATATTTTTTTTTAAATAAAATTTACAGACAACCTACGGACGAGTAGGAAGACACAAAATTGTAAACTCAAACATGTTTTCATCATACAAAGATGTGATCTCAGATAAAGATGTGCAAATATGACATGAATACTACGTTAAACTATAAAATTATTTGCATTAGAATCAGCCTGCGGGTCTTTGTAGCGAATGGATTTACGAGTACTTTTTTGATATTTCTATTAAAAGTGTTTGAACAAGCATGTCATCCATCAAATGTGTCAAGTTTAGTGTAGTATTACCGACACTTAAGACACTTAAAAATAATAGAAAATCAGTTAAAAAATAAACAGAAAATCGAGAATGTTTAAAGGAGGGTCGGCGGCGCCTAGAGTCGGTTATAAAAGTGCGACGCTAGCCGGTCGCGCAACTTGCGGCTCCAATATACTCGGTTGATCTAAAATTTCATTGCACATGTTTCTGTCGTGTTTAATTAGACCGTTTACGTAAAGGTGTTGTGCTATCTTAGTATTAACAAAAAAAAAAACTCGGTAACTAGAGACTTTAGTGATTACGCGATTATTATATAAGCAAGGATTACTGGAAGTTTGTTCTTTATTTTTTCTTTATAGAGCCAATTTCTCTTTTTGTTCTCTTACGTGAAATGTATTGTTGGAGTATGCTGTATTTATATAAGTGTGTTAACATCACTGTTTAATTGCTAATGCTAATGTGTGGGGATAATGGAAGCAGCGCTGCGTTCTGATTGGTCAGTGATGTGGTTCACCTAAACTGATGAAATCAATTTACATTATGGGCTAAATTGTGCTTGTTATTAGCGAGTGCAAACACCGATAGTTATGAGGATAAATTTCACTATTAACCGATACAATTTAAATTTAATCGATAAATTATGCAACTGCGTTGAAGATTTAAAATTATTTCATTCACTATTAACGATTGTATCAAGTATTTAAAAAGTTTGTATTGTATTGTAATACAATACAATTTTTTTAAATACTGAGCAGTTACAACTGCTTATAGAATTAGATTGATAGTATTATTATGACAAAATTACTATAAATAATAATATAACACTATCTACAATAGTAAATGGATATTCTGCATTGCTTTTTTAAGTTCAAAGTTTATCGTTCTTATCAGTTACCATACCAGATATGCTCGGTACTCATCTCCCGAAGCTTTTTGGAACCTCCTTATGTACAGGTTGGCGTGATACAATTATTTAAATGCGGTCAAAAATCTAATTTAAAAAATATTCAATTTGGTATACCTACATATGAGCAATTAACTTAATTGCCACATGCTACTAACATAAACAGTTAAAATAAAAATATGAATACGAAGGTACGTTACGTATAATAGTACTTTAAATTACCTACTTAGGTACTTAATTACTCACATATTTAAGTGCCCACCTACTGAAAAATGTGAATCCGAAATAAAACCTACATTTTTATTAAAAAGTTTACGATCGTGTACATATCACAACTACTTGTAAGTACTTGTGTAAACTAATTGATAAAACAAACGATTAAACCGAATACGACTTTAAAATACATCTTAATATAACAAGGTTGAAAGAAACTTAAGACTCACATTTAATAAGTGCATGACAAAGTAACCGTATACCGACAGAATTTTTGTGTGAGCGGTCATACCGCCCCAACTAACATGACGTAGCTTAAAGGCAAGTTAAAGAGATATAGTGTTTCTCTTACAGTTTGAATTTACCAATGACATCGCCCGCACCCATATAAAATTACACGGTGCCATATTTTATAAGTTAATAGACGTTCGTAGGTACACCTTTTTCTTACGCTTCAAAGATTTCGTCAACATTGTAATCCACCATCTATGAAATTTAAAAGACACAGTTAACACACGGTGACAGCTTTTTTGTGTAAAAACGCACTTGATATTGTATGCCATAGCTATATCGTATTACTTCTTACTAGACCAATTTTAACAGGTAACGTGTCAACTAAAATCTACATTACATTTTGAATTCTGAAGTCAGACATAGGCCGACAAAATAGCCGCTCCTGGTAGAAACCAATGAATATAAAATGATTAATAAAAGTGCGATCGTTTTCAACACAAAGTTTTTCTTTCATGCTTCTAGTAAATTATTGAGTTCGTAAAAATGATATCTGATAAAGCTAATTATTCGTCGTCGTAATATAGAAATGGGCGCACGCAACGACCAATCTCGGGTTATGGACGAAGTTTTAAAAGGTACGATACAGGTCCTAAATATTGGCGGGTAGATAGGGTGGCCGGGGGCGCGGCACGCCAAAAACACATTACGAGCCGGCAACGCGCTATTACGGCGAACCGCACGCGTCCATGTTAGCCGATAGCTGCCACCCGAACATGCTATCCGACGACTAATTGGTCAGCTTCATGCACAAAAACCCCTAATAGAAACAACTGCGGCCAGGGGGAGCCGCTTTACAGCCTAAACCGTATATGATCGCATTAATCGCAAGGTATAACTGTAACAATCTGGTGTATGTGGCTACCTACCAAATATTTTCGGCGACGGTGGTTGTAATGAGGGCCAATCGTTAAGTTAGGTGGTTAAAGGGCGTGTTATCTAGAGGCTTGGGCGGCGCATGTCACGTGACAAACGAAGCGTAAACTCACCACCGCACCGGTACTTCGGTCGCGCCATCTTTGTTTTTATAACGGGGGGTTATATTTTAAATTGCTTTTATTTTAAAGTTTCAAATTACCTGCCGTCCCATTTCCGGTGATGTTACATCGACGTTATACATAATGTACCATTTTTTGGTACACATAAGAAGATCACCTTGAGTATGTTTACAAGTATATTTATCATTACAAATATTGGCAATAAGTTGTCTTTGTTCACTTGTATAAATCATGTTTTGAGATAGAATTCGCAGTGTGGTCGTTTATTACTCATGCTCAGTGACTGGGAACATTTATGGAGCAGCATTTCAGATTAATGAATATCATTATTGTTTTAAATCTTTCCATAATATCAATCTTTTCTTGTGTC